TTCGTTTTATTGGCAAATCAAAAGGGTCAGTTACTTCTGGGACACCCTGTGTTAATCGCCCCCATGTTTAACATGAAAAGTCAATTTGGCAAACCCATATATTTTCGGGAATTCATCATCCGGGGCCTGTACAATTGCATTGTTAGTAAAAAAAATATGGGAAGCGGACAGAGCTTATAAAAGTCTTATGATTAAAACTCAACGTTTTCACACCGCTCGAAGACAGCGGGAAAATAGGGTAGGTTGTGAGCATTGCTTATGGATTGAGTGTTCATTAACAGTTCCGAGCCAGTAGACGTTAAATCTTCGCCAGCTGAAGGACAAAATTAACCTAGGAATACCTCTGAAACAAACAGTAAATTAACAACGAAACCCAGGATTGCGTGATTGATAGTACAGAAGAAAGGCAAGAAAATAAAATAACACTGGTAGGACTAAGGAACTCGAAAAAAAAACACACTCAAGTTCTAAATCAAGAAAAATCTGCATTTCACGAAGTAGGAAACTCCAGTTGAGAGGCAACAGGAAGTTAGAGCAGGAATGAAGGCGAAGGTGGAGAGTAACAGGAATATAAATGCTACGGTGGATTCAGGTGGTTGATTGACGCTGTTGGGGTGCCTTTTGGCGGGCGCAGAGTTCGTCGACAGTGGTTTCTATACAGTGCAAACCAAGTGATGATCAAAGCATTAGACACATACCTAGCTTGGTAACCATGGCATCTAGATCGGCAACGTTCCGTTCCAGCATGGGAAATAACTGGAAGAAGGCGTCCACAGAAGCTAAAGTGCCCACAAGTTGGTCATCTATTTAAAAGAGGAAAACGGGGTGAATTAAAAAAGTCTTGTAAGAGGATTCGGAAAAGGTGCAAGTACTCCTTAGTTCTCGGTACCTGAAGGCAGCCTGCCGTAGTCGCCAAAGACCATGCAACGTTCATGATGAAATTTGGCTTGGCACTTTAGCATATATTTGAAAACACTATTGTGATTGACTGCGTTCATTCAATTCTGCAAAAGCTTTTTCGTTAGGAAAATCACCGTTTTAGTTAAGTTTATTAAGGGAAATGGACATTAATTTTCACGGAAATGAGAGTAGTCTCATATGGAAGGAATTTCCTATGCTATTACGTATGATAGAACCAAACTTTTTACTAATGTGCATTATACTATGGACGAATTCCAAAATAAGTGAAAAAGATATGAAACATATCTCTGCAAGAACCAGAAAATGTCCGAAATTGTTCAGATGGAAGTGAGTTCAGGTTGAAGGAATCGCATTTATTTTCGGAAACAAGGAAGAATTCCACTTTTTAATATTTTTTGCTATTCTGTGAAGTTTTGTGCCACAGAATGCAGTAATAAATTGGTATGACAAAGTTATTTTACCACAGCGATAACTATCAGCGTCAGCTTGATATAGAAACGGGAAGGCGCGATATATGCCCTTTTTTTGGTGTTGGGCTGTGCGTTCATAATGTCTGACACTTGTTTATGTGAAGATGATTTTGTCCGCTTACGAAAAATGGCAGCCTAAGGGCTGGCGCGTAATTCATTAGCGTGTATGTTCGATGTAAACAAGGCCAAAGTATCTCGAATTATTAATTATAAAACAGTGCCTGGAAGGAAGAATCCTGGAGTAAAACGCTTTACAACAAAACAGGATGACGATTTTATTCGTCGAACGTTAAAAATCTATCATTATATGCCCATTACCGCTATTCACAGGGAAG